GCGAGCTCCTCCGCCAGCTCCCTCAGCACTCTTGGGTGGATCCCATCCGGCCCCATAGACTTGTGAGTGTCCGTCCAGGTGGCGTAGCAGGTGACTGCTTCCTCTTGGATTATGGGGGGTTCATCCTGCTCGCCGTCCCTGTCTTCCAGCTCAGGGGTCCAAGTACCCTGAGGATAACTGATCTGCCTGTTAAAGACTGAGGCAAAGAAGGCAGACTGAGGCAAAGAAGGCAAGAAATAGTAGGTAAAGAAGGCAAGAAGATGAGGTCAGCCATGGGGAGTATCTCTCAGAAGGAAACAGTACAGACTGTGAGCCTCTCATTTAGTATGTTGTATTGGTTATCCCAAAATCAGAGGTTGCAAAAGTGAAGACATCTATGGACCATCTGGAGACAACAGTCAGACACGGACAGTTCAGCTTGACTGAGTCATCAATTTAAAACTTTTCTTGGCCTGTTTCAATAGATTTTATAATTGGTAGTTTTTGGTCTTTTGAATTGCAGCTCTTAAGTTCATTGCGGATGGCTTGAGAGTGTTTGATAGCTTCTGATGGTGTGTGGCATGAGCTTTCCTCACTCCAGGACCTGAAAAAGACTTCTTTCTCTGGTCTTTCTGGACTAACACGTAGCATGCTGTACTGTAATTGTGGGAACCAGGACTCCCATCCAGCCTAGTTGTACTTTTCAAGATACAGAATATAAGCCTGCAAGAAGTTATTTCCACTGTGAAAGAAAAATGAACTCTTCCTGATTATCACTGTATGATAAAGACTCATGTTTGTACCTCATGAAAAACTATATAACATAGAACAGTGCAGCATAATTTTCCCTACAGGGAAACAAAGCTTTGGACAAGAATATTATCCTTACAAAAATTTCATATTCAAATGTGCTCCTTCATTATTAAGCAATCTTAAGCAATCTGATTATTGACCATGTAAATTTGTTCTCCTGGTAACCAGAAACACTTTTTGTTTCCAATATTGTACATCAGCAACTAATTATATGTAAGTTTTTAAAATACAGTAGCTGAAAAACTTACCAGTAAAAATGTAGAAGACTGGAATGCAATAACCAGCTATTTCTCATTTACAGAAGAGTAGCACAACTAAGCAATCTGATTATTGACCATGTAAATTTGTTCTCCTGGTAACCAGAAACACTTTTTGTTTCCAATATTGTACATCAGCAACTAATTATATGTAAGTTTTTAAAATACAGTAGCTGAAAAACTTACCAGTAAAAATGTAGAAGACTGGAATGCAATAACCAGCTATTTCTCATTTACAGAAGAGTAGCACAACTGAAGTCTGTAGCACTGCGGTCCTTAAGAGAATAAAGGTTTTTTCCTAGGATAAAAATTATTTTTTTCTCACTTTGAACTGAAGCAGCTTTCAACCAGCTATTTCTCATTTACAGAAGAGTAGCACAACTGAAGTCTGTAGCACTGCGGTCCTTAAGAGAATAAAGGTTTTTTCCTAGGATAAAAATTATTTTTTTCTCACTTTGAACTGAGAGCAGCTTTCCTCTATTTATTCAGCAAATTTAATGTTGAATTTCAGTTTAGTATGTTGAGGATTTTTTTAGACACATATATTTATGCAAGCATTCTTCCACATATAATATACTAATGGGGGGGGAAAACCTTACCCAAAAGCTTTTTTGAGGATTTTTTGATGCTATAAAGGCATCATCCAATTCTAATTACAAAATTCTTCCACAGGCATCTGTTATGTTCTGTTATTTCCTCTCCCATCAATACCTCTGAGGTATTTAATATCAGGGAATAATTCCATTAACTTGATTAGCTTTCCATGCCCTGTTTATCTTTATAGAGTAGCAGTTACACAAACATGAAAAATCTGCATAATACCTTCCATTTTGCTTTTAAATATGAAATAGTCTCTGTGAATTCATTATATTAAATTGTTTTGGTAATTACAGTTTTTATTTTATGTTTACTTATTTTCTATTTTAATACTATGTTATCTTCATCAGAATGCCTCTTAAGATACCTAAATAACTTCCCTCTTTTATGATCACTCCCTCAAACATTAGATTTAAAAAGCAGTTTAGGAATCTGAAATTTATTACTTGAAAAAAATTTAGGCAGCTAAGCCCCAAGTTTCAAATCTTATAAGCTCCACCTATTCTTGTCTGATGATCAGAAACCAATTCTAATTTATTTTAGGTCTAGATGGCACTGAGATTCACAAAGCCTGCTCAGAGCTTGCCTCACACACAAACACACACCTATGATCTTCACAAAACACAAAGCAGCCAACAGCAGTTCATCTCAAAAACACACCTCTTCCCTTGTGATAATAAAATAATGACTCACTATTTTGTATGTTTTTTCCTTTTTTTTCTTTAACATTATTTGCTGATTAGAGTACTTAGCCAGGCTACTAGAAAAATAGTATCAGATTGCTTTTCTGGACAAGGAGGTTCCGGTCTTTACCTACTATTTCTAAGAAGGAGCCAGCTGTTTTGGGAAGGGACATTTCATCCTTTGTGTGGAAGCTGCCCAAGGTACAGGACAGTCATAGCATCAGTCAGTTTTGTGTAATTAGTGGCTGGTTAAAGCACTGCATTTTTACTTTTTTCAGTATAAAGAAACAGTCTTATAGTGGACACCATAACCCAGGTCTGCCCCCTTCCCAGGAGTACCATCCCAACTACCAACCACACTGACAGTTCCACTTCTTTTTGTATTTCAGGATGTCTTCAATAGAAAACTGTTGCCTCAAAATGCATCACATCATTATTCTTCTTGTCCCAGAGTACCTCATCTATTCCAGGCTACTCATTAATTTCTAGTTTAATCTGATGAGTAGAAGCAGGTCACTGACTTAGCTCTCCATTACCAGCAAGATGTGCCCTGTCACCTAATCTGGGAATTGCAGCAGCTGTTAGCCAGGAGACTGGAATCATGATGAGAAATGTGGATTCCCATGCTTAACAGCACCTGTGATGACGGCAAAGTTTAGTCACAGCCTTGGATCCAGACTTTCACTTGCATATCACATTATCAGCAGCTTCAAGGCATTCCTCTAGGAAACAAGTATTTTAATCTGGTGTCTAACCATTAAACTCTCATAAAGGACTAGTGGCAGCACTACAAGCACCAGCTGCATTAGTATGACTCTAATGCAAGTGACATTACTGACCTGGGAGAGGAGCCCATGCAGGTGGCACAGTTCCCTATCAGACCTGCTTTGAAGATGCAGGCAGAGGATTTTCTAGTTCTTCTCATTCCAATCAGGCTTAAACAGGGGACAGGCTGAGATAAGTCAGTCGGTGCGGTTGAAAGCATATGAAAAAGCAGAACTTTTCAGAATGAAAGAGTAAGAGGTCTAGAGGATTTACACATCTAATGGGATTCTGCAGCAGCTAAGCAAAAAAATTCTGCATCAGATTTTGAAGTTAAATCAAATGCAGGCACCAACTTCCTGCTTGAGGCATTTTGGCCTCTCTGGGGATGATGTAGGAGATTGTCAGGCTTTGAGCACAGCACTCCCACATGAAGAGCTCTGTACATGCTCAAAGGACTCTGCTGTTACAAGCACCCTGCACACGATGCAGTGTTGTGTTGCACACATTGGTGCAACAGGACAACACATGCAGCAGCCAGGCACAATCAGCATCAGCTCTACTCTTGTATGTTGTCTGTAGGGTTTCCCTCATGCTGCTATCCCAAGTCATAATTCTGTAACCAATAAAAGAATGAAAAACATGCAACAGAAATGACCATGCTTCTTGATATTTCCTACCAACTAACATAAGCATATGCCCCAGTTCCTGCTAAGCGTGCAAGGCACTGGAGATCCCGTTCAGGGCTCCTTTGCTCATCCTTTGCATAGTAGAGGGATCCAAAGCACCAAGTACAGGGGTACAAGTTTCTTTCAGGAGGCCAGGTACCCAGGAGGTGTTGTAATGTTGATTGCTGGAACATTTCTTCCATTTTAATATTTACAAGGAAAGAGGGAAGCCACCTTTGAAGACCTAAGTAACTGGCAATGGATAAAGGAACTCAGCACTTGTGGTCGGAATAGGAAAAGAGAAAAAATTTAAAAGACCTCTGATCATTTGAATAAGCTTTGCAGAATCATTTGAAGACGTGTTTTACTAATTTATTTCACTTTAACGATGGGTGTGTGAACTCTAAAGAAAATTTAAAGATGTTTTCCCTACCGTTTTTAATTATTGAATATTGTATAATATTTCTTTTCAAGCCAAGAGCAATAGAAAACCTCAGGAATATGTCAGTGCTTACCAGGACCTGATTCATGTTTTGTCTCTGAAGGAGAAGGAAAGGGAGCACCAACAGCAACTGAATATTATATTAGAGCTGACTGAATGTGGTTTTACTTCATATTGCAACACTCAAGGAGCAGGTATACAGACAATTACTACATCTCAGCAAAGGAGCAGTAAATTCTTAAAACACATTAATTTCATTATTCATGAACATCGGACCACACCCATGGTCAGTTTTTCTCAGAGAAGTGAAAAATAATGTATTACAAAAGTCATAGCTGTCACAAATGCAATGCAACAGTAACATACAGAATATGTGTTCGCCACTGACCTGAATGATTCCTCCTAGAAATGAAACTGCTGCTGCAACTCCAATCCTCTGCATTTCAAACTCTGATAGGCCCAAAACTCCTGAATTATTGCTTGTAGTGAAATTAGTGCTGACTGAAGGAACAAGACGCTCAACTGCGTTGGCAGATATTAAGGAAGTTAAAGCAAAAGTTCCTATAAAAAAAGCCACGCATTAGTCACCAATGATTCTATATCTGTCTGTACTCATGACTTATGGTCACTTTTTCAAAATTTGGACATTATGAGTGAAAGTGCCGTTTTGTGCATTTCTGTCACGCTAAGGACAATTTTTAAGGTAATCTTTTTATGTAACACACATTTCTTCATGTAAAATACCATTTGTACATGTGAATTAAATGTCAATTTTTTTTGTGAGCATATTCATTTAGACGTTAACAGAAGATGTTCAAACACAACAACTCACAATGATTTCAAGTTATCAGAAATGCTTTTAACTCACCTTGGATGTGATGAAATGGCTTTTTGTCTGAGGATCCCAAATGTTCACCATTCAAATTTCTAGGACAATTAATTCATGTTGTATACATAGTACCTAGCCCATTATAGTTAGTGGATGTGTATGTTTGAAAACTCAACAATCTGCACTCTAATAAATGGAGGCAGATTATGAGAGAAACATTTATTTGCTGAGAGAGGTAAAGCAAGTTTAATGACACACAGATAAATAAGGATGATAATTCAATATTAAAAAGCACAAACACATCATGCAGAGCTCTAAGAGCATAAGAAATGCCCTACTATGTCAGACCAATGGTCCGTCTTGCATAGTACTCTGCCTCCAGCTGTGGCAATCGTAGGTGTTACCCAGGGAAAGCACACAAGCCTGGCCACTTTCTGCAGGCCATTCCCCTCATAATCCCTCAGCATCCATAGCTCTTGTGTTAGGGAAGCACATCCTTATCTGACCCTTTAAGTTTTTTATTATGGACTAGCATTCATGAATTTGTCGAACCTCTGAACCTGCTTGTATTTTCTGCCTCCACAATATCCTCTGGGAGCAGGTTACAGAAGTTCACCATCTACTGTAGTATTTTCTTTAATCTATACTTTAAAAGTTTTATAAAGTGATCTCTCACCAGTTTCACTGAGCTCTATTTCTACTACTGCAGGACACGGTGAACACAGTTCTACCTTCACCTTGGCCTTCATAGAGTAAACCTCCCAGCATGAATGCCTTGGTAACCTACCAGGGACACCTCCACCCTGAAAAATGACCACTAGGTCCTACCTTTTGCTTCTTATCCTTTAACATGCTAATAATTAATAAAAGAACTTTTCTTTTATCACAAGGGCAACTTAGTTTCTTTAGTAACCTTTGGTGTGGAACTTTATCAGTAGCTGTTTGACCATTCTGATATCTTATTCAAAGTATTTCCTTTTTCCATGTGCTTACTGACACTCATACAGTACTCTAGGAGGTTAGGGAGGTAGGATTTTCCTTTACAAGAGTCACATTAAATCCTCTTCAACAGACTCTGATTATACATATCTTTCAGTGATCTTATTTTTTATTATAGTCTGTAATAATAGGGGTGCAATACAGGTCTGCAGTTCCCAGGATTCCCTCCAGAGCCCTACTGACAGATGAAATTACACTGGTAACTTGACAGTCCTGTGGCCTTCTCGGAAAGGTGTCCCACCAGTTTCTTTCCCAGCTTCCTGATTTTGATGTATTTAAAGAACCTTTAACTACCAGTTTGATCATCCTCTCCATGGCACTCTTAAAATCCCTTTTTTTAGCTTTCTGATATTCCTGCATATGTTTGACCTACCACATTTCATGGCTTTCCTGCTCACCTCATTTGGTCAAGCTTTCCATTTTTCAAGTGCCAAACTCTTCCCTATGACAGTCCCCTTAATTTTCCCATTGAGCCATGAAGGGTTTTTTTGGATCACATTTTCTTTTTTGAATCATGATACACATTTTACGTGGGCCTAAAATACAGTTTTTTTCAAGCAACATTCAGGATACGTGTAGACATCTTGCTTTTCAAATTGCCCCTTTTTCTTTTAAACCTGTTCCCTCCTTTTTACTTTTTTTCTCCCCAAAAAATTGGATTTGAAAACAGTTTACATAAAAATCTATCTGAAATCAAAGGTCTATGTGTGGTGTTATGACAGATGAAACTACTTCAGAGGATCCTCCAAGTTCAATTATATCAAAAGTAGTCAAGAAAAAGGTGTAAGGGTTTGTTGCTCAGGTGAGTAATCTTTCAAATTAGGTCAGCTGTGTCACAGAAGAGACATTTCAAGTGAGTAAAAGTTGACAGAACTTGGCCACTGATGAATTTTCCTTTTCATATTAACATAACTAACTTCACTAACAAAGGGCACTTTTATAGCCTGTATACATATGGAGAGCCCTGTTATCTTACAGAATATGCTGGTAGGAGAAGAGATTGTCACCGATGTACGTGAGGAATTACGGAGTATTTGGGGATCTGAGGCAGGCTGTATAGCTCCAGTTCAGCCTGCACACCATAACACCTTAACCGAGGCTGGTGGGATGAGTGCATGAGACATTTCTACTGAAAGGATCAACAGCATGTGTCACACACATCTATTTAAAAAAATCTTTATGATAGCAAGAGAACTGTTTTGTTTTCTTTTTTTCTTAAGATTAAATTCTGGAATAGACACCTGGGAAAGCAAGAGGTTTCCACGCCAGGGACTGTGCAAGAATCTGCAGCCATGGAGCTGTGGGACTCCTAGCAAATCATTCTCTGAACAGTATTCCCTCACAAGGATAAACCATCAGACTTAGCTGCTTGTACTTACCCATTTTATCATCTGTTTTCATTACTAGAATTTATTTCAGCCAGATACTTACTTATTTACTTTCCTACATAGGATCATATGATGCATTCTTGTTTTCCTAATAAACTTACACCAACAAACTGCTGACAATACACTGCTAAATTATTCATTTTTAATATAGGTTCATGTTTTAATATATTTAATGAAAAAAAAGTTCAAAAAACCTATACTAATCTCTCTCTACTCAAGTGTCAAAATTATTTTCCAAATTCTAAATTTTCACTTTTTTTTGAATGCTTCTCTTTCTTACATGAGCTGAGTACATGCCATCACTCATTACAGCATCAAGTCACTAACAGCATCCACAGACCCTTCTCAGACATCAAAAGGCTCAAATACTTTCTGTGCCTTTAGGGAAAACAAACTTTCAGCTTTCCTTTTGCTGTAAGACAATGTATGTTTAGCAATTTTTAAGAATTTAACTGAATATTTTTTAACAAAAACGGTGCTCGAAATATGTAGCTAACTTCTTACTAAAACAGTTGTCAGTCCATATGCTCAAGCAATCAGATTCTGCCGAGTTCATTTTGTGTGTGATTACCCAGAACCATCTTTCCTCATTTCAGTTGTTTTTCTTGTCCACAAGGAAAACATACCTCCTCCCTGCGTAAATATTCCGATGACCACAGAGGCTGCTTCCCTTTACCCAGTCCTACCGCACTTTACTACTGGGCCTGTCTCATCCTTCCTGCAAACTTCAGAGGCCATCGAGTGCCCACTTCAGCACAACAAAGAACTTGTAATTCAGTCTCATGAGTATTATTTCTAACTTTGGCCTATAACTTAGAATCATAGAATCACAGAATCATAGAATCATTAAGGTTGGAAAAGACCTCTAAGATCATCGAGTCCAACCGTCAACCCAACACCACCATGCCCACTAAACCATGTCCCTAAGCGCCTCATCTACA